ACACTGGAGCAGATATATAAAACAAATAGCATTAGATCTAAAGGGAGATAAAAACCGCAATACGATAATAGCTGTGAACTTCAATACCCCACTCTCAGCATTAGAATGATCATCTAGGAAGAAAATCAACAAAGAAACATTGGATTTAAACTGCACCGTAGACCAGATGGACCTAACAGACACTTACGGAACATTGCATCCAACAGCTTCAGAATACACATTCTTTTCATCAGCGTGTGGAACATTCTCCAAGATTGACCACATGTTAGGACACCAAACAAGTCTCAGAAAATTTTTAAAAATTGCAATGATATCAGTATTTTATCTGACAACAATGAAATAAAACTAGAAATAAATAACAAATGGAACATTTAAAACTATACAAGTACACGGAAATTAAACAACATACTCCTGAACAACCAATGGGTGAAGGAGGAAATTAAGAATGAAATTTAAAAATTCCTTCAAACAAATGGAAATACAAATACAACATACCAAAACTTGTGGGACATAGCAAAAGCAGTATTAAGAGGCAAGTTTACAGCCATGAATGCCTATATTAAATCACTGGAAAGATTTCAAATAAGCAACTTAATAATGCATATTGAGGAACTAGAAAATTAAGAACCAACCAAACCCAAAATTAGTAGAAAGAAAGAAATTTAATAAAGACCATAGCAGAAGTAAATGAAATTGAGACAAAAAAAAGACAGAAAAGATCCATGGAGAATAATTGGTTTTATGAAAATATAAATGAAATTGACAAATCATTACCTCGACTAAATAAGAAAAAAAGAGAGGAGATGCAAATAAATAAAATTAAAAAAATGAAAAAGATGTCACAACAGATACCACAGAAATACAAAGGGTCCTTAGAGACTACTTTGAACAACTATACACCAATAAATTCGAAAACCTAAAGGAAATGGGCAAATTTCTGTATACATACAACCTACCAAGATTGAACCAAGAAAAAACAGAAAACCTGAACAGATCAGTAACAAGTAATGAGACTGAACTGTAATAAAAAGTCTTCTGGCCGGGCACGGTGGCTCACGCCTGTAATCCTAGCACTCTGGGAGGCTGAGGTGGGCGGATTGCTTGAGGTCAGGAGTTTGAGACCAGCCTGAGCAAGAGTGAGACCCTGTCTCTACTAAAAAATAGAAAGAAATTAGCTGGACAACTAAAACTAAATAGAAAAAATTAGCCGGGCATGGTGGCACACGCCTGTATTCCCAGCTACTCGGGAGGCTGAGGCAGGAGGATGGCTTGAGCCCAGGAGTTTGAGGTTGCTGTGAGCTAGGCTGATGCCACGGCACTCTAGCCCAGGCAACAGAGTGAGACTCTGTCTCAAAAAAAAAAAAAGTCAATAAAGACAAGTCCAGGACCTGACGGCTTTACTGCTGAATTTTACCAAGCCTTTAAAGAAGAATTAATACCAACTCTTCTCAAACTATTTCAAAAAACTGAAGCAGAGGAAACTCTTCCTAACTCATTCCACAAGGCCAGCGTAACCCTGATACCAAAGCCAGACAAGGACACAACAAAAAAATGAAAACTAGAGGCTAATATTCCTGGTGAATATAGATGTAAAAATCCTCAACAAAATACTAGCAAAATGAAACAATCAACAAAGTGAAAAGGCAGCCTACAGAATGGTAGAAGATATTTGCAAGCTATTCGTCCAACAGTGGATTAAAATCCAGAATATACAAGAAACTCAAACATCTCAACAGCAAAAACCCAAAAATCCCTTTAAAAAATGGGCAAATGATCTAAACAGATATTTCTCAAAGGACGACATACAAATGGCCAAAAAATATATTTTAAAATGCTCAATATCACTATTCATCAGGAAATGTAAATCAAAACCACAACGAGATACCATCTCATCCCAATTAGGATGACTATTATCAAAAAGACAAAAAATAATAAATGATGGCAAGGATAGAGGGAACTCATATACGCTTTTGATGGGAAGGTAAACTAATATAGCCCTGTTGGAGAACAGCATGGAGATTCCTCAAACAACTAGACATAGATCTACCACATGACCCAGCAATCCCACTGCTGGCCATTTATCCAAAAGTAAGGAAATCAATATATCGAAGAGACATCTGCACCCCCACTGTTCACAATAGCCAAGATATGGACTCAAACTAGGTGTCTAACAACAGTTAAATGGGTAAAGAAAATGCGGTGTGTGTGTTTATATATACATATATACATATAAAATGGAATACTATTCAGCTGTAAAAAAGAATGAAATCCTATCATTTGCAGCAACATGGATGAAACACATATTAAGTGAAATAAACCAGGAACAGAAAGTTAAATGCCGTATATTTTAACTCATGTGGAAGTTTCAGCAAGTTGATCTCATAGCAAAAAGTAGAACAGAGGAGAGTAGAGACTGGGAGGGGTAAGGGAAAGTGGGGATAAGGAGAGATTTCTTTTTTTTTTTTTGAGACAGAGTCTCACTCTGTTGCCCTGAGAAGAGTGCTGTGGCGTCAGCCTCGCTCACAGCAACCTCAAACTCCTGGGCTCAAGTGATCCTCCTGCCTCAGCCTCCCGAGTAGCTGTGACTAGAGGCACACGCCACTACGCCCGGCTAATTTTTCTATTTTTAATAGAGACGGAGTCTTGCTCTTGCTCAGGCTGGTCTTGAACTCCTGAGCTCAAGTGATCCTCCCACCTCTGCCTCCGGAGTGTTAGGATTACAGGCATGAACCACCCTGCCCCGGCCAGGAGAGATTTCTTAAAGGATACAAAATTACAGCCAGACAGGAGGAATAAGTTCTAGTGTCCCACAGCACTGTAGGGTGACTATAGCTAACAATACACTATACAGTTTCGAATAGCTAGAAGGAAGATATTGAATGTTCCCAACACAAATAAATGATAAATGATAGTGATGATGCTGATTACCCTGATCTGATCACTATACATGTATTGAAACATCACTGTGTACCCATAAATATGTACAAGTATCATATGTCCATTAAAAATAAAAGAAAAAAGGAAATTCTAACAAATGTACACATGGATGAATCTGAAAGACTTCATGTTAAGTGAAATAAACCAATCACACAAGTCCGGATAACACAGGATTTTACTTATATGAGGTAACCACAGTAGTCAAATTTAGAGACAGAAAGTAGAATAGTGTTTACTAGAGATTGGGGGGAAGAAGAAATGGGGAATTATTGTGTAATGGGTACGAGTTTCATTTTGAGATGAAAATGTTCTGGAGATGGATGGTGGTGAATACTGCACAGTGAGTGTATCAATGTCACGGCACTACAGGTGGTCCTTGAATTGTAATGTTTCGACTTAACGATTTTCCCACTTTACCGTGGTGTGAAAATGATATACCTTCAGGAAAAATCATACTTTGCATTTTGATCTTTTCCTGGTCTAGTGATACGCAGCACACTACTCTCATGAGGCCAGGAAGTAGCAGCGAGCTGCAGCTCCCAGTCAGCCGCATGATCAGGAGGGCAAACAATAGATACTGTACTGTATTCGATAAATTACACGAGATATTCAATGCTTTATTTTAAAATATGCTTTGCATTAGATGACTTTGCCCAACTGTAGACTAGGTGTTCTGAGCACACTTAAGGTAGGCTAGGCTAAGCTATGATGTTAAGTGGATTAAGCGTAGTAAATACATTTTCATCTTATGATATTTTCAATTTATGATGGGTTTATCGAGATATAACCCCATCGTAAATAGAGGAGCATCTGTATACACATAAAAATAGTTAAAATGGTAACTTTTCTGTTATGCATATTTTACCACAATAAAAAAATTAAAACCACCAGTTCTCATCATGGCCCCTGGCTTCCTCTCTAGCCTTATGTCCTACCAATTCCTTCCCCACATTCACAGTGACACTGGCATCCTCACTGAAGTAAGACCCTGCTAAGCATGAACTTCCGGGTCTAGGTACCACGCATGCATCTCCCTCTTCCAGGTCGCTACTCAAATGGCCCCTAGAAAAGCCTTCCCGACTACCCTACCTAAAACACATCTACCAATACATTTTTTTTTTTTTTGAAACAGAGTCTCACTCCGTTGCCTGGGCTAGCTAGAGTGCCGTGGCGTCAGCCTCGCTCACAGCAACCTCCAACTCCTGGGCTCGAGTGATCCTCCTGCCTCAGCCTCCCGAGTAGCTGGGACTACAGGCATGCGCCACCATGCCCGGCTAATTTTTTCTATATATTTTTAGTTGTCCAGCCAATTTCTTTCTATTTTTTCAGTAGAGAGGGGGTCTCGAACTGCTGAGCTCAAGCGATCCTCCCGCCTCGGCCTCCCAGAGTGCTACGATTACAGGCGTGAGCCACCGCGCCCCAATACACTTTTATCCCCTCAACCTGCTTTATCTTTCTTAATAATCTATCATAATCTCCCTCACTAGAATGCAAACTCCATGACCAGGGAGATCTTTCTTTTTTTAACTGCTGTGAGCAAGCCGGGCACATAATAGGTGCTCAGTAAATATCTGTTAAATAAACGTTTCCCTTTCCAATAACATATACAAAAGTATTTCCCTTTCCTATAACGTATACACGTATTACTTGTATCATTTGAAACTGAATGACTGGATTGCTGAAATTCCGCTTTAGCATCCCAATGTGTGCACGGACACAAAAGCTTTTGAAAGGTTAAGTGGAGCGCTGGAGGCCAGCTCCCTCCAGGAGGGGAACGGGGAGGGGCTGGGTCTAGAGCTCCGTCCAAAAGGGATCGCCATCGCAGCACTAATACATTCCGAAGGGACATCTGCAGGTTTTCGGGAAGGCCTACTGGTAGGAAGCAGTACGAGAAGTCCGCAGCCCCTCGGCCCAGTGGCGCAGCCTCACCACGCACCACCCGCGTCAGCCCCCTGGCCCAGCGCCGAACTCACGCCGTCGCCCCGGGCTCTCTGGCCCGCATCTCTATGGCAGGAAGCGAGAAACCGGAAGTGGGCCGCCGACGGGGCAAGGGGCGGGGCCTCGGGGCGGGGCCTCCGTCTCCACCTCCGCTGAGGGCCGAGGCGAGATGGCGGCCACCGAGGGGGTCGGCGAGGCCGCTCAAGGCGGCGAGCCGGGTCAGCCGGAGCAGCCGCCGCCTCAGCCGCACCCGTCGCCTCCCCAGCAGCAGCAGGAAGAGGCGATGGCGGCCGAGGCCGGAGAAGCGGTGGCGTCCCCTATGGACGACGGGTTCCTGAGCCTGGACTCGCCCACCTATGTCCTGTACAGGTAACGCCCCCGCGGCGGCGCCGCGACGCGGACAGCCCTTCCCTAGGCCTCGGGCTCCTCCTGCGGCCTGCGCTCCCGGCCTTGGGCGTGCGGCCGAAGTTCCCTCGGCTTCGCCGACGGGCCGGCCGGGAGGCGCGCTCGGCCGGGTGGGGCCCGCCCGCCACCCTTGCGTTCCCGGAGGCCGCGCTGTCACTGCGGCTTCCCGCGGTGTGTCCGCGACCTGGAAACTGCAGAACACTGGACAGCACTCTTAGGCTGTTCAGGAGTCATGATCCATAAATTTCAGAAACTTCCCGTTTTCTTCCGTGGTCCCAGAACGCTCTCCCGGTAGTCATCAGACTGAATGCCGAGTACAGAAGGTTAGGGTGCTCATTTGGTAGCCTGGCAAGAAAGTGATTTGAATAAGGGCCAGATTTGCTCCCTTTAAGAACGAGGTTTCCCAGGGGTCGTTCTTCTGAAATGCAGAGAGCTAGTGTAGCACCTTTAAGGACTGCAGCATTTCCATGCAGTCAATATTTTAGCGCCTAGTATCAGCCAGGCTAAAGGATGAAAAAAGATTTTTTACTTAAACTCTCTTAAGCGTCCCTACATCGCCTCCTACATAATACAAATGATGTGTAGTAGGTACTACTGTAACTTTCTTGCCTCGTTTTCGTTCGTCTTTGCTAACACCCAGTTCCATCCATGTCAGTTCTTTGCTGATTTCCTAGTTTCCTGTGAACCTGCAGAGACAATCGCCTTATGCCTTACTTCTGTAGTTCTAGGTAAACCCATTAGATGGCTTGTTTGCCTTGATTTTATGAATGAAAGTCACTATCTAGACTTTTTTTACTGGTGCACACGTTTAATTGATTTAAATTGGTTATGGTGGCCCCTTAACCCTCAAACCTCTTCTCTGGATTGTGAAATATTCAGATTTTTCACTTGACTGTGTCTGATTTCCCATTGACTGAGTGACAGCCTTACCTTCCCTAAGCACCTCCCCAGGCTTTAGGTTTCACATCACAGGCACTTGTGTCCCTTGTATTTCTTCATGTATAATGGACACAATTGCAGGATTGTCTGGATGCCACAGCATCTCTGTCAGTAGCTGATCAGTATAGAGAAGTAAAGAGTGGGTGAAGGAAAAGAATATAAACGAAAGAGTGGTTAAAACAAATTTGTTCACACTGGGCAGTTCACACTGGCGGTTCTGTAAGCACGCACCGTTGCTGCTATACTGTTATTTAATAGCGTTGATTATGAGTGGTATTCATTGAATGCTTACTGTATGCTTTGGATGTTTTACATCCATCCAGCTTAACATCTGTCATCTCATTTAATCCTCAAAACAGCCTTCTAAAGTTGGTTGGTAATATTATCATCCTCATTTTATAAATGAAGAAACGGAGGCACAAAAGAGGTTTAGTACCTTTCTCAAGGTCGCGCAGCTAGTAGGTGGTAGAGCAAATATTTCAACGTAGGCAGTTGTCTGATTCCAGAGCTTGCTTTCTTACTAATGACCACTTGGGCCACCTCTCTGGTACAGAGGAACGTAATAATGGTTACTTTTATTTTAAAATGCCAGTTCCTAGTACTTTGTTACTCAGATTTTTTTAAAAGTGCTGACTGACTCCAAAGAATCTTATTAGTCCAATGAGTTGGGTTGATTTCTAAGTTAAGACTGTTGTGTACTTGCTGCAGAAACATATTTTCCACTTATTAAACTTTAAATTTGAAAACTGTTGATTTATTCACTTTAATCTGTAAATTAATTGTTTTATTCTAATTTTACTTTGAAAGTTTACTATGTAAAGCAAAGGGGCAGAACTTGGTCATGAAGAATCCAACCATGATTACATTAAGATCTCTGTGTTACTAGTATTAATGTAAGTGTAATTGTTGCAATTTTAAAAAACACCAGAATTCTTTTTCTTCTTATGTGTTTGAATGTAACCACTGGGGGGAAATGTATGTTTTCAGGGACAGAGCAGAATGGGCTGATATAGATCCAGTGCCACAGAACGATGGTCCCAATCCAGTGGTCCAGATCATCTATAGTGAAAAATGTAAGTTTGATTTTTTTTTAAGGAAAAGTTCTATAAGTCCAACTTAGTAGCAAAGTTGAAATTCACAACTGTGTAGCAAGATAGATGACAAATTTTTGTATAATAAAAATCTGAATGACTTGAGTTAATTTTGTATCTTTTGTGATTTATTTTATTATTAAAAGTTTTATTTTGTCCAAAGAATGGAGGCATTCTAAGTAATCAGTGTTACATTATAATACATAATAGCTACATGATTCTGCTTTTCATTTGCTATTTAATCTGCATGTGTGTACAACATAAACGAGTTACTGTTTCATTTAGAATAAACTTTGGTTGCTGAAACATCAGCATTGTAAAATATATTTTGGCAATGAAGTGTTAGGCTCAGTTGGAATGTATGTACTGATATTAAAATGAGTGAATTATTTTCTTTGACAAAGTATCATTCTTCCATAATGAATGTGAAAATGCTTTGTAAGTGGAAAGTCATGCAAATGCTAAGTGTTGTTCTTTTAGGAAAGGGTAAATGAATAAGATGGAATGACAGTTTTGTAATTTTATGTATGTGTATTTCTTTCAATTAAGGCTTTGTTATCTAAGATCATTCCTGTTTTATAAAAAGTATTTTTTTTTCTGATAATGAAATAATGGCAAGAAATGTTTGAAAAGGAAGAATAATGGTGTAAGGGTTTGCCTTATCAAATATTGCCTAGTAACTTAATAAACATGTGGAACTGGTACAGAAATAGATTAATAGAGACTTAAAAATGGATAATATTTATGAGAGCTTAGTATGTGATAAAAAGGACATTTCATACCTTTATGAAGAGGATGGATTGATCAAATAATGGTTTGGAACAGTTGCCTGTGCGTTTAGATAAAAGCAGAATTATATCCCTGTCTCTTATCTTACATGAATATAAATTACAGATGAATTAAAGTTCTAAAACGAAACTATAAACATATTACAAACAAATATAAAAGAATAATCTTTCATTCTTAGGGTAGAGAAGATATTATTAGGCAAGGTGTAGAACTCAGAATTGATTAAGGAAAAGGTCAAAACACATAGCTGCATAAAAATACAAAATTCCATACTTTGAGAGATACTGTATGTGAAGAGACAATTCACTAGAAGAAATGAAAACATCTATGAAGAGATTACAGGCCGGGCACAGTGGCTCACTCTGGAAGGCCGAGGTGGGAGGACTGCTTGAGCTCAGGAGTTCGAGACCAGCCTGAGCAAGAGCGAGACCCCGTCTCTACTATAAATAGGAAGAAATTAGCCAAAACAACTAAAAATAGAAAAAATTAGCTGAGCACGGTGGTGCGTGCCTCTAGTCCCAGCTACCCGGGAGGCTGAGGCAGGAGGATTGCTTGAGCCCAGGAGATTGAGGTTGTTGTGAGCTAGGCTGATGCCACGGCACTCTAGCTCGGGCAACAGAGTGAGACTCTGTCTCAAAAAAAAAAAAAAGAAAACAAAAACAACAACAAAAGAGAGATTACAGTGATCTCACTGGTAATTAGAGAAATACAAACCACAACTTTTTCAGATTCGTAATTACTTAGAACAAAGATGTTGGGGAAACTGATTCAAGCATATATTTCTATTGGGAGTAAATTATTAACCCTTTTGCACGGTATAAAATTACATTTTAAGTTCTTACATATGCCATGATGAGAAACCACAAAGTATTTAATAAAAGATAAATTTGACTTACCAAAAATTGATAACTATATCTAAAATTTAAAACTTATGCAACAGAGGAAACCATGAACAAGTTAAAAAGCAAGCAGCAGTATGGGAGAAAATAAACCATATAAAACAAGATTGATATTCAGAATTTTATAAGGAATTCCTACAAAAGGGTAAGGAGACAGACAGCCTAATCAAAAAATGAGTGTGAACTGGCAATTTACAGAGAAGAAAATTCCATTGTCCAGTAAATAGGGGGAAAATCCATTATCTTTAGGAATGAAACATGCAAATTCAGATGAGAATGCCACTTTTCACCTATGATTTAAATGGCAAAAATGAAAACTGTCTTATGATATCAGGTATTAAGACGTATGAACAAATCCATATATTTCAAATGGTAGTTTTCAAATGTGTAGCCATTTGGAAAGCAGTGAGCATATCTATTAAAACTGGAAAATGCTCGTGTCTTAAAGCCTAGCAGTATATCTAGTGCTTCTCATTACATATTCTGAGTTCACTCTGGCACACAGCGTGAGAAGATATGCGCTAGAAGGTTAAAAGCACAGACTTTGGAGCCAGACTACTTGGTTCAAACTCTTACTTCACCATTTTACTGGCTGTGTAACCTTTGGCAAGTTATTTAGCCTCTGCGTACCTGTTTCCACCTATGTAAAAATGTGGATAGTAGTAGTAACTCCATTATAGATGGAGCGAATTATCTATATAAAATAATAGAGAAGCGTCTGGCTCACAGCAAGCACTGTTTATGTTAGCTGTGATGTGCTATGATGTGCAGCACTTTCTGAAAAAGCAAGATACTGGAAACCACCTATATGTCTATCTTTTGGAGAAATGGATAAAATCAAATTTATCATTGTCATACAATTGAATACTATATAACCATCAAGAGGGTTTAGATCAATTATAACATGGACAGATCTCAGAATCAATGTTGAGTTAAAAAAGGCAAAGTTTGGCTCGGCGTGGTGGCTCATGCCTGTAATCCCAGCACTTTGGGAGGCGAGGTGGGAGGATCACTTGAGGCCAGGAGTTTAAGACCAATCTGGGGAACATAGTGAGACCCCTATCTCTGCAAAAAATTAAAAAATTATCTGGGTGTGGTGGCACGCACCTGTAGTCCCAACTACTCGGGAGGCTGGAGCAGGAGGATCGCTTGAGCCCAGGTGTTCAAGGCTGCAGTGCAGTGCTGCAGTCAGCTGTGATCGCGCCACTGCACTCCAGCTTGGGTGACAGAGCGAGACCTTGTCTGAAAAAAAGAAAAGAAAAGAAAAAGGCATGTTTTAGAAACTCAATTTATAATTTTTAAATTAAAAGAATATTTTAATATTAACTTTCATTTTACTGTTTACATAGAATAGGACTTTGGTTGCATGTGCAGGAACCCTCCTCCGGAGCTATCCCAGCCTGATGTTCTCCCAATTGATTATTTTTAACAGTGCACATGTATGTGTGTGTATGCTTTAGATACAAATTTGTGTGTGTTAAGTATATATATACATTACATAGAGAGTTAACATCTTCTAATCATTTTGTTACAAATTTGAAATTATTTGGAAGCTTGGTTCTTAATAACTGCATAATATTCTATAGTTATTTGACATTTATGTCATTTCTAAATTCTGCTCTGGAATGAATTAAATTTCAACTGTTTGTAGTGAGTGTTTAGAAGAAGTGTTTGTATATCTCAGAATTTGTAAAGAGCTGTAATTGTTCATGTTTTTGTCTGATACTTTTACATTATAGTTTAAAATGAAAAACTGTTTCTCTGTAGTGAAAATACTTCTGATACCAAATGTTTGGGTTTTCACACCAGGCATTCCCTGTAGACACGAACTAGGTGTCCTACAATTTAAGTCAGTTCGGACACTGACCACCTGGAGTTAGCGTGGACCCCACAGGTGAAGGGCTCAGTGCTATAAGACTGCCCCCCACTTCAAATGCCAGTTGCAAGTAGTGGATCCTCAGGTTACCCACATCTTCTGTCCTACTTGGCTGTAATTTGGGGGTTCTTATGACCCCCTCCTCAGTCTTTCTTTTGTTTTCTTCTCTTCTTTCGATGAGAGCTTGCCATGTTGCCCAGGCTGATCTCAAACTCCTGCGCTCCAGCGATTCTCCTACCTCAGCCTCCCAAGTAGCCAGGACTACAGGTGTGCCTGTGCCACCATGCCTGGCTCTCAGTTTCTTTTTTATGTAACCAAGTGCTCCAGTAAATATCCTTGGATGCTTTGCACACATACGGCAGTATATTTGTAAGAAAATCTTGGAACTGGAATTATTGGGTTAATGAGTATGTAAATTTTAATTTTTAATTAGATATTACTAAATGATTACTAAATGAGGTTTGTACTAGTTTACACTGTCTTTAATAATGTATGAGTTAAGAAAGCAAGGCTGAGGCTGGGTGTGGTGGCTCACACCTGTAATCCTAACACTCTGCGAGGCCGAGGTGGGAGGATCGTTCAAGGTCAGGAGTTCCAGACCAGCCTGAGCAAGAGCGACACCCTGTCTCTACTAAAATTAGAAAGAAATTATCCGGTCAACTAAAAATATATAGAAAAAATTAGCCGGGCATGGTGGCGCATGCCTGTAGTCCCAGCTACTCGGGAGGCTGAGGCAGGAGGATCACTTGAGCCCAGGAGTCTGAGGTTGCTGTGAGCTGGGCTGACGCCACGGCACTCTAGCTCGGGCAACAGAGCCAGACTCTGTCTCAGAAAAAAAAAAAAAAAAAAAAGAGCGAGGCTGAGAACATTGAGTGTGATGTGATCTCAAAAAAATGAAGGATGGAATTAGGTCATATACTTGTATCTGCGTAGAATATATTTGGAAGGATACACCAGAATCAGTTAACAGTGGTTGCTTGTGGTGAGAAGGACTGAGAATTTAGTGGAAAGGAAATTCAATGTGAACCTTTTTGTATTGTTTGAGTTTTCTACCATTGAACATACTTTTCAGTCAAAAATCTGGTCAAAATAAAATGTGAGAAAAACAGCTATGTGAATATATTTGAATATATGCACTTGCTCTGTTGCCTGGGCTAGAGTGCCGTGGTGTCAGCCTAGCTCAGAGCAACCTCAAACTCCTGGGCTAAAGCAATCCTCCTGCCTCAGCCTCCCGAGTAGCTGGGACTACAGGTATGTGCCACCTGGCTAATTTTTCCTATTTTTAGTAGAGATGGGGTCTTACTCTTGCTCAGGCTGATCTCCAACTCCTGACTTCAAGTGATCCTCCTGCCTTGGCCTCCCAGAGTGGTAGGATTACAGGCATGAGCCACCGTGCCTGGCCCTGAATATATGCATTCTTAATTTTGCTTTTATACATAAGGTCTTTGGGAGATTTGGAATCTAGCATTAACCTATATATATACACACATAAGCAGTAAGCATGATTATACTTACAAAGCCCATGCTTTGTGGCTGTGATACTAGAGTATTATCAGGGAGGCAGTCACAATCATTTGACTCTTTATTTTGCTTATTGGTTTAAATGATATACATGTAAATAAAATCTTTCCACGTAGGTATAACAACATGTTCTAGTGCTAGTTTTAAATAAGAAAAATAGTCCTAACGTGGCTGTGTGCTCTGTTTCCAGTTAGAGACGTGTATGATTACTTCCGAGCTGTTCTGCAGCGTGATGAAAGAAGTGAACGAGCTTTTAAACTAACCCGAGATGCTATTGAGTTAAATGCAGCCAATTATACAGTGTGGTACGTAATCCACGTCATTAATATTCCCTGTAAATGTCTGATGTGTTGGTTCGAATGGCTTTTCTTTTTTTTTTTAACTGAACTTTAATTTTGATCAAAATAATAAAATTCACATATGGGTTTAAAAGTCAGAAGCTAAATGAAAAGTATCAGTCTTGGCCCATTTCTCCCTACCAGTCCCACTCCTCAGAGGCAACAACTCGTAGATGTTTTTTCTAGAATCAACCTCGGTGTTCTAGATAATATGCTTAATTATTATTTTTTCTTTTTTTTCATTTTAGACAGTACCTGTTCCTTCCATGAAAGACACAGAATTCAGAGTTCACTCTCTGCTACCCTCCCTCAGTCACAAATGCCTAATCAGTTATGGTTCATGCTCACCCTTGTTTTATAGGATAATTATACTTCCTTTAATAGATTGCCTTTTTTGTTTAGTTTTCTTCGTGCTAATAAGTAATTTGTCTCCCATTTTATATATATATATAAAATGTCGTATTTCTGTTGAACACTACAGGTAATCCTTCAAGTTCATTTTTTTTTTTTGCCAGTTTAGATGCTGCACATCTGGTCTTCAGCTCTTTAATGCGTTAGATCCCCTGTTTCCTAGATCCTATATCTTTCTTTTTCTCAATTTACTCTCTCATTTTATAGATCACATCCTTGAGTAGAAAGATGGGAAATAATTTTTGTGTGGGAAGTAGTTTTTGAGACTTATACATTTAAAAATCATTAGTTTTCCTTCAACTTTATCGATTAATTGTTTGAGCCAGGGTCTTGCTCTGTTGCCCAGGACAGAGTGCAGTGGCATCATCATAGCTCACAGCAACCTCAAACTCCTGAGCTCAAGTGATCCTCCTGCCTCAGCCTCCCACCTAATTTTTTTTTTTTTTTGGTATCAATGGGGCCTTGCTACGTTGCCCAGGCTCGTCTCAAACCCCTGGCCTTGAGCAATCCTCCCACCTTAGCCTCCTGAGGCCCACCTCAGCCTCCTGAGTAGCTAGCACTAGAGGTGGGCACCACCAGGCTCAGCTTCTTATTTTCATTTCTTTGTCTTTTTATTTACTTTTGAGATATTTCCTCAATTTTATCGTCTAACTCTTCTATTGATTTTTTTAAAATTCTGCATTCATTTTTAATTTTTAAGAACTCATTTTTGTTCTTTGAATGTTCTTTTTTAAATAGCATCTTGTTTTTTTATTTAATGGATGTGATATCTTCTTCTCTGTCTGTTTTGGTCTCTTTCATGTAAATATTTTTCTGAAATGGTTGGTAATTCTTGACTTTGCTTTTATACTTATAACAGAGACAGGAATAACCCTGATTGGAAGCCCTATATGTGGCAGCATTTATCAACTGGAGGGCTTCACTGTGAAGTTACCGAGTGGGGATGTGGCTGTTTGTTGTGAAATCTTCCCATGTCAGTATTTTTAAATCTTTTCTGTTGGACAGTGTGTTTCTCCAAAGAGGATTCATCTGATTTGTTGCCTAAGGAGTGCAACATTTCGCTGCCACAGTTCTGGGGTCAGTCTGGGGTGATGGCTGGGGGATCTCACTGTTGACAATATCAACTTTTTGGGGGGAGGGCAATCTAATTATGATTTGAAATGAAACTGGTTTAATTTAATTTTTTTCAGCTTTGTTTATCGACGTTTTTAATTTCCTTATTGCTACCCTTTTACCTCACACTGCCTTCCAGTGTGCCTGGCGCCCCTTTCTGTTTCAGATTTTCCCAGAGAGTAACACCACTGTCTCCTGCCCAGGTCAAGAGATGCTGTCACCTCTCTGCTCAGATCAGGGAGAGATCTTGGCTGCTGAGGGCTCTTTCTATAGACCTTGCACCGTTTTTAGCACCACCTTGAACCCCCATTTTGGAAATATCTGTTACCTCCGATTTCTGAATCTTCAGATTTCCTCTTTTGTTGAAAGTTTTTTAACACATTTTGTTTTTCTTGTTTAAAAGTAGTCTCTCGGGCGGGCGTGGTGGCTCACGCCTGTAATCCTAGCACTCTGGGAGGCTGAGGTGGGAGGATCACTCAAGGTCAGGAGTTTAAGACCAGCTTGAGCAAGAGTGAGACCCCGTCTCTACTAAAAATAGAAAGAAATTGGCTGGACCACTAAAATATATAGAAAAAATTAGC